AAGGTCAAGGGTTTGGATTCCTGTACTGGCCAGCTGCAAAAAAGATTTTAATATAAAAAAAACAAAAACGTAAAAATCATTCTTGCCATATAGGCTGTGCAAAACCAAGTGGTGGATCGGATTTGGCCTGAGGGCCAGGGTTTGCTGACCCCTGGTTTTCTCCTATGTTAAATGGGATTCATTTCATTTACCTGGCAGGAGTGTTGAAAGGCTGCACAAAATCATTTAATCATTAAGGCAGTCATTAACGCAAATATATTAAGCTCCTACTATGTGTCAGGGTTAGGGCAAATACAAATTCCCTTTTTTCAAACTTTAGATAGTAATCCAGTAAAAAAGGAAATAAACAGTAATTACAGATTGTGGTAACGGCTCTGAAGGTAGAAACTGCATGGTAAGATAAAGAGGAGTTGTGGGGAGAGTAACTACTTTACATGGAAGGGCTCTGAGGAGGGAAAATGTGAACACCTGTAATCTCGTTTGATTCCTTCATCAGCAGGGTTGGTATAATTAGTCCCATTTTACAGATGATGCAGCTGAGGCTCGAAGAGGGGAAGTGAATTGCTATAGATACAGCTCTTAGAAGGTGGAGCTGAGTGGGTATTAGGCTCAGGCTGTCGTGATCCAAATTTCATGCTTCTCACTGCTTCATCCTTTCTGAGGGCAGGACATGATAGAAAAATTGAGGGCTGGGGATGGGGCTGGGGTCTCAGTCCCCGCTCCAGGAACACACAGTTTGCTGAAACACATATAGTGGGTAGAGGGCTCAGAGACAAGAAATCTCACCTCCAGTTTGGTGTTGGTGGGAGCTGAGAGAGGGCTTGTGCAGGAGGTGGGACTGTGGTTTGATAAGCTTTTTATTTTTTAATTATAGTAAGTTAAACATAACCTAACATTTACCATCTTAACCTTTTTTTTTTAAAAAGATGACCGGTAAGGGGATCTTAACCCTTGACTTCGTGTTTTCAGCACCATGCTCACCCAGTGAGCAAACCGGCCATCCCTATATAGGATCCGAACCCGTGGCCTTGGTGTTAATAGCACCGCACTCTCCCGAGTGAGCCACAGGCCAGCCCCCATCTTAACCTTTTTAAGTGTACAGTTCAATGGCATTAAGTACATTCACATTGTGGTGCAACCATCACCAACATTCATCTGCAGAACTTTTCATCTTGCATGTTGTTTTGCGTTGCTTTGCCCCCCACGGATTTGTCACCCTATTTCCCCTGGGTGACAGAGATGAAAGGATTACCCAAAGCCCATCTCTTCTGAACAGTGAGAAGCCCCGAAGTGGTTAACTTCCTTTCCTCGGGAAATTAACTCCGAACTGGGGTTCTCTTCCTGCATTTATTTTCCAGACCAGGAAGTTACAGAAAGAGAACATAGGTGGGGTTATAGTTTAACAGTATAGGCTGGTAACTTTCAGTGATAACAAGCCAAATCGTGGACATTCCAGTAAGGCAATTAACAAAAGCTTGATCTTAGCAAATATTCCTTCCTACAGCAATCTCTCAGTATCTTTACATCACAATCAGTAACTAGTCTGTCTTTGAGCCAGCAACCTGCTGTGCCACAATCCTTATCTTGCAACAGAGACTTATAGCCTGAAGGAAATTTCCTGTCCTTGCAAGGTCAATATTTGAAACTGCAAGGCTTTGGAAAACCAGGCCCTGTGAAGTACATATGCTTTTTAGTATATTCTACACCTGCAAAACTAAAACTCTGGGGCTGGCCCGTGGCTCATTCGGGAGAGTGTGGTGCTGATAACACCAAGGCCCCGGGTTCGGATCCCATATAGGGATGGCCGGTTTGCTCACTGGGTGAGCGTGGTGCTGACAACACCAAGTCAAGGGTTGAGATCCCCTTACCGGTCATCTTTTAAAAAAAAAAAAAAAACTAAAACTCTGTACCCATAAATAGCAATTCCCCATTCTCTCCTCCCTGCAGCCCCTGGCAACTACCATTCTGCTTTCTGTCTCTGTGAACGTGACCACTCTAGGAACCCCATAGAAGTGGAGTCATGCAGTATTTGTCTTTTTATGACTAGCTTATTTAACTTAGCAGAATGTCCTCAAGGCTCATGCATATGGTAGCATGTGTCAGAATTGCTTTTCTTTTAAAGGCTGAATGATGTTCCATTGTATGTATCTACCACATTTTATCCATTCACCTGTCAGTGGACACTTGGGTTGCTTCCAAACCTTTTAGCTATTGTGAATAATGCTGCTGTGAATACGGATGTACAAATATCTCTTTGAGACCCTGCTTTCAATTCGTTTGGATATATACTCAGAAATGGGATTGCTGGAAATATGATAATTCCATTTTTAATTTTTGGAAGGACAACCACACTGTTTGCACAGTGGCTGCACCATCTTACACTCCTACCATTACACAGGATTTCAGTTTCTCCACATCTGCATCAACATTTATAAATCTGTTTCTTGTTTTTGATAGTAGCCACCTGAATAGGTATGAGGTGATATTGACAAAACTTTTGAACAAAAAGTTTGAGAAGGGGAAATGTCTAGGGAGAGGGCATTGCTTAAGTAAATGTGTAACAGGACAAAGGGCTAGTAGCCATTGTATAGAGAGCTACTACAAATCAATCAGAGAAAGCAAACATTCCAGTTGGAAAAATCGGCAGTTCAGAGAAGAAATATAAATGGCCACTTAACTTCAGGGGTAATCAGGGGCTTGCAATTTGACAACATCAGGATTCCTATCACGTTGGTCTGAACTAGACTTCCAATGGCCAGTGTTGGAGCAGGCTTAGGAGAGTTGCTTATTTCCCATCTTGATGGGAGTGTATACAGGTAGAGCTTGGGGAGGATATGGTGGCAAAATCCATCAACCTTTAAGATACTTATCTCTCTGCAACAGACACCGTCAGGGCCCTGACTATATTCTTTGGACCCTACCATTTATGATGGGTGTTTATTGACTTCAGGTAGCCAGTATGTTTTTCCAGAAATGCCTGTTAGCATGGCAGGCCAGAAGGGCATGGCAGGCCAGAAGGGCTGGGGAATTAACACCTCCAACCCCAGCAGTTCTCACGCAATGGCTGATGGGAGTTGGTATATAAATACCCCAGCTCCCTTGCCCTGGGATTAAGTGCCAGCAGCCTGTGCTGGTAACTGGCTTAACCAGCCTTCATTGGCTGCTTCTCCTTCCCCGTCCCACTTCCCTGTTTCTAAGTTTGTATTTTAAACCTTTAGATGACCACATCATACATCTAAATCCTTGTCTCTGGGGCCGGCCCGTGGCTCACTCGGGAGAGTGAGGTGCTGATAACACCAAGGCCACGGGTTCGGATCCTATATAGGGATGGCCGGTTAGCTCACTGGGTGAGCTTGGTGCTGACAACACCAAGTCAAGGGTTAAGATCCCCTTACCGGTCATCTTTTACAAAATAAAAAATAAAAAAATAAAAATAAATCCTTGTCTCTGTGGCTGCTTCTGGAGGAACCCAGGCTAAGATACCCTGTGACTTAGCACTTTCACTTCTGGAATGCTCTCTGGCATAATATTCTCACAGGGCTCAGAGAGTCACATGCAGGGAAGTTCATTGTTGGTAATACTGAAAAACTAGACACACCCACCTGCCCCCCAGTAGGAAAATGGTTATCTCAATTATGAATCATCCATAGTACAAAATACTCTGCTGCTGTTAAAAAGACTGCAGTGAGGCAGAGGAGTGTGATGAGGCTCTGGAGCCTCAAACTGCATGGGTCCCAATGCTGGCTCTACCACTGAGTGATCCCTGAGACATTGCTTTAGTCACCTTATCTGTAATAATGGGCACGGTAGTAGTACCTTCTTCACAGGATTGTTGTGCAGATTAATTGAGGTACAGTCTAAGCTCATAGTACTATATCTGGCATATAGAAATCATTCAGTGTTTTGACCTAATGTGTATTAATGTATATTAATATAAGTATGATACATTTTTTTTTAGTTTTTTAATTTTTTGTCAGTTCACTGGTACAGGGATCAAACCCTAGACCTTAATGTTATCAGCACTGTAGATAATACAAATGTTAAGTGGTAAAAGCAAATTACAGAAACAAGATTTAGGATGAACCCATTTCTGTAAAACAAAACAAACTGTATAATAAGATGTATATGCAAATGTAATTGAACTGAGAAATGTGCGTAAGGATGTGCTTCAAATTGACCATGGTGGGACTGTTGGAGAGGTGAGGTTATGGAGGGCTGGGAAAAGAAGTGGGAATTTTTTTTTTTTTATTTTTTTCCTTTTTGTCTTTTTCCGTGTCCGGCAACGGATCGCAACCCTCAGTGTTGCCCCCGTACCAGACAGGGGACCGGCAACGGGATTGCAACCCTCGGTGTTGCTCCCGCACCTCGCTCAGCCAGTGAGCGGGAACCGGTCTGTATGTGGGATCCGAACCCTCGGGCGGGAGCGCCGCTGCGCTTCCCAAGCAGCACACCTATCCAGTGTGCCACCGGGCCGGCCCAGAAGTGGGAATTTAGAAGTCTTTTTATATATTATTTTGGTTTGGTTTTTTTGGAAATAAACATGTATTCATGAATTATGGTCATTTTATTATTTATTATTTTTATTTATTTATTTTTAATGATGACTGGTAAGGGGATCTCAACCCTTGGCTTGGTGTTGTCAACACCACGCGCAGCCAGTGAGCCGACTTATTTATTTATTTTTAATGATGACCGGTAAGGGGATCTCAACCCTTGGCTTGGTGTTGTCAACACCACGCGCAGCCAGTGAGCCGACCAGCCATCCCTATATGGGATCCGAACCCGTGGCCTTGGTGTTATCAGCACCACACTCTCCCAAGTGAGCCACAGGCAGGCCCTTCCACAAGTTTATTTTTAAAAATAAAAGTGCACAATTGGCACCTGGAGGGTATGGGGGGCTTGGAGACCAGGCTGAAGGGAGGTTATGTTTAGCTGCTTAGATGGGCCTAGTCACCTTGGGGGCCTCTGCCCCTGATGTCCCCTTCCATCCCTTACTGCAGTGTCGCAACGTGTGTGGCCTGAATGTCTCTGACCGCTGTGACTTCATCCGGACCAACCCCGACTGCCGCAGTGGAGGGGGCTACCTGGACTACCTCGAAGGCATCTTCTGCCACTTCCCTCCCAACCTCCTTCCTCTGGCCATCACCATCTACGTGAGGCCCTGCCCCAGGGGAGCTAGGGGGGAGGGTGGCCCGAGCAGGACTTAACTCTTCTTCCCCTCTCTGGCCCCCCACCAAGGTTTCCTGGCTGCTTTATCTCTTTCTGATTCTGGGAGTCACGGCGGCGAAGTTGTGAGTGGCCTGGGCTCATATCCAGCTTAGAGATGGGAGAAGCATGGCGGGGGGATAGGGGCTGGTCACTGTGGAAGCCCTTACTGTTTGCTTTTTCTCCATAGTTTCTGCCCTAACTTGTCAGCCATTTCCACCACACTCAAGCTCTCCCACAACGTGGCAGTATCCTTTTATCCAGGGTCCTACACCTTGGAGGGAGGGCTGGCAGCTGGGGGGCAGGCTGGGGGACAGGATAGTGGCTCATGATCCAAGAAAGGCCCAGGCGTGCTGCGTCTTCTGTACTAATTCCCCTTGACACACTCCCCCATGGCGTCACCTTCCTGGCGTTTGGGAATGGCGCACCTGATATCTTCAGCGCCTTGGTGGCTTTCTCGGATGCGCGCACAGCGGGCCTGGCCTTGGGGGCACTGTTTGGTGAGAGCAGTCCCAGCTTGGGTGGGGCAGCAGGAAGGGTGCAGGGCTCTGAGCCCTGGCATCCTCTTCTTCAGGTGCGGGCGTGCTGGTCACCACGGTGGTGGCCGGTGGCATCGCAATCCTGCACCCCTTCATGGCCGCCTCCAGGCCCTTCCTCAGGGACATCATTTTCTACATGGTGGCTGTGTTCCTGACCTTCACTGCGCTCTACCATGGCAGGGTCAACCTGGAGTGGGCTCTGGGTGAGCAGCCACAAGGCTGGGCAGGGGCATCCCAGGGCTGATGGGTGGGAGGCTCAGGAAGTGCCCAGGGACAGAGGACCGTGAGCGGGTGGCCAGCGGGGGTTGAGGGGGTTGGTTTGATTCCAGGTGACAGAAACCCTACTCAGGCTGTCTTGAGCAAGAAGAACTCAGATAACCAAAGGGGGCTGGGCAGAGCCAGGAGAAAGGGATGGGAGATGTTCAAATGTTCATAAAATTTCCAGTTTTAACAAGCAGTACCACTGGGATGCTGACTGTGGCCACCACGGTCCCAGCAGTAAACTTGTTCCATTCAGATGGTTCAAGGGTATGAATGAAGGGTCGATTAACAGGAGAAAGGGATGGGAGATGTTCAAATGTTCATAAAATTTCCAGTTTTAACAAGCAGTACCACTGGGATGCTGACTGTGGCCACCAGGGTCCCAGCAGTAAACTTGTTCCATTCAGATGGTTCAAGGGTATGAATGAAGGGTCGATTAGTACAGAGGGTTAGGAAACCAGCAAGGGACACTGAGGTGTGGAGGCACCCAGGGACCAGTAGGAGTGGGAGCTGTCCCCATCCTCACTTCCCATGTCTGAAGGGGCAGGGAATGGGGTGTCTGGAGCCCAGTGAGGGCTGGAGGCCTGGAGCTGATGCCACGTAGCCTGAGCTACAGTCACAGAGAGCCACAGGTCCTGCCAGAGCCACACACCACATCACGGAGGAAGTGGGAGAGAAATACCCCAAACTCTCTCTCCTGCTGCTTCTGACAGCTTGTTGGGCTAATCTCATTGGCTGAACCCAGTTGCAGCCAGAGCTTGGGTGATGCAGTCTGCAGGGCCAGCCTCCCAGGGCACACAGCAGGACACTGAACCTTAGCACTTGAGTGGGGGCTTGGAGGCCACTCTGTGCCAGGTGTTACCTCCTTGACTGCCAGATTGCAGAGGAACTAGAAAGGGAAGATGGGCAGTGGAGACAGGAGGTAGGAGTGGGGGGCTCAGGAAACGGCCATTTACAGTCTGGGCTAACACAGATAGTCCTCACTACCATGCACCAGCAGCAGAGCTGCCAGACCTTGTGCTCTGGGCCCTGCAGCCAGGATGCCACTTGGTGACAGCCTGAGCCTTTGTCTGCAGGCTACTTGGGCTTGTATGTGTTCTACGTGGTCACTGTGGTTCTCTGCACCTGGATCTACCGATGGCAGTGGAGAAGAAGATCCCTGGTCTACTCCAGGCCAGATACTCCAGGTAAGAGTCTGTATCGAGCCCCCAGGAGAGGGCTGGTGGAGTCTGGGAACCTCCGTGCCCTTCACTGCTGCCTTATGTGTCTTGAGGCCAAGGCCATTGGCCCCGCCAAGCCTATCTCCTCTTCCTGCTTTTTCTACTCATTCTACAAGGTCCCACCTGCATGCTTTGGCTTGTGCCGATGAGCCTCCTCCTCGCCCGTGTGTCCCAGCTCACTAGTTCTTCCTCCATGCTGCCCTTAGGGCAGTCCTTCTAAGAGCTGCACTGCTCATGTGCCTTCCTGCTCCCCACTACCCTTGGGGTGAAATCCAAACACACCTGTATACACAAATATATGCACACACACATGCGTACACATACACAAATACACATCATACACATAGACAAAAACATGCACGTGCACACACAAACATACACACAAACACATCATACACAGACAAATACATGTGCACACATACACTAATACATGTACACACATACGCAAATATATGCAAACACACCGGAACACACACATCACAAATATAGAACACAAGTATACAACACACACATACACAAATATAGAACAAACACACAAATACATACAAAACATACACATATACAAATACACATCATACGTATACAAAGACATGTACATACACATGCAAACACACATAAAGAATGCACACACATACACAAAGACATGCACACACACAAATGCACAACACACTACACCACACAAATACATGACACACACACAAATGTGTACATACACAAATATATAAATATACAACACACAATACATAAATATACAACATGTACACATATACAAATACAGGATACACACAAATACATGCATATACAAATACACAAATACCTGCACAACACACACGCATACACAAATACTACACACAGACACATGTATAATGTACTGAGTATTTACTATCTGCTAGGCACATGTGTCATTTTACTCCTCACTGGCACCACTTTGGGGTAGGGACTATTATTGTCCCTCTTTTACGGATGAGGAAACAGACTCAGGGAGATCAAGTCCACTCAAGACCAGAGAGCCGGAGAGGAGCA